TAGTGAAAATTGTCAGCACAACTAGTTTGGCAACACTGGGTGCTGACGCCACAACAGTGATGCAGAATGAAGTGCAAGAGGCAGGGGGCACCAAAAAGTCGCACAGGGCGCCGCTGAAATTTGAAAGTCCAAAATCCACCCCCGAGTCTATGTTATGTGTGGAGGGAAAGGAAAGTCCGGGTGGGCTGCTTCAGAGACAGGGTGGCTCTGAGGACAATGGGTGGTGGAAGCATGGTGCTGAGGAAAGGTGGCGCCCAGTTGAAAGCAGGACTCGGTCAAAAAATGCAACACAAGGTCTAGGGGCCAGGAGAGGTTTTGCATTGCTGGCAGGAAGTGAGTAGGCAAGGGATGTTTGGAAGGCCTGTTCAGAAGAGTTGCAGACCAGGGAGTCATCATCACATAGCTCTAGAGCAGCCTTTCCCAACCTGTTTTTTTAGACTACAACTCCCATCAGCCCCAGCCAGTGTGTCCCATGACCAGGGGGGATAGGAGCTGTAGTGCAAAAGAGCTGGAGGTCATTCATGTTGGGGGAGGCTGCTCTAGAGTTCGGACCCTAACAGGGAGGTTTCATTTATTTATTTAATACATTTAGATCCCACCTTTTCACTTAATCATCAAAAGGAGATCATAGTAAATAATAATAATAATGATAATAATAATAATAATAATAATAATAATAATTATTAATAGATCCTGCCCATTGTGGCTTCTGTTATCTTTGTACACTGCCAGCTGTAAAGGGGTGATGAGGTCCAAACTTTATTTAATTTTATTTATTTGACAAAAGATATTTAGATTCCTATTGCAGGGGGTTGGACTAGATGACCCTCTGGGTCCCTTCCAACTCTACAATTTTGTGACTCTACAATTGCAATAAAACCTCAAAGCAGTTTATCAAAATGAGCAGTGGGGGCAGATGTCACATATTAATTTGAAGTACCCAGCTAATTATTTGGTTTCAGGCTACTTTTTAATTAAACAATTAATTACTTAATTAGTTGGCAAAGGCAAGAGTTCTGTGGCACCTTAAAGAGTAGCAAATGTTATTACTGCCTAAATTCTTGTGGACTAGTGGACTCCAGTCCCTGAAAGCTTTATGTCAGAATAACATTTGCTAAGTCTTTTAAGGTCTCACAAGACTCTTTGTTGCTTTTGTTGCGAGAGACTGACAGGGCTGGCCCTCTGGAAATCAATTACTTAAGAATTACTTTTATGCTCACAAAGTTCTTTGGAAAGAGTTTACTCTCTAAAGCTCAGCCATCACGTCTGGGGAAAGTTGCAGGACTGAGAACTTTTAAATATCTATTTAATGGTGGAAACAACCAATCTGTAATTATGTCTTAATACAGCATCTTAACCAGGCATATGAAAAAGCAGCTATCTACACACACACACACACACACACACCCAGAAGAAAACAATATCCCACTGTATTTTCCTTTGGGGGTGGGGGACCTGTCCCCACTTAACACACAACTTCGCCTGCATTATTAGTGGCAAGCGAGGTGGCGATTCAAAAGATTAAAAGCAAGAGCAGCAGCCAGGCTCAACTGGCTGGCTAAATAAAGGGGAAGGAGGTGGGAAGAGCTTGCAAAAAGAAGCTCCTCTTTGGAGAGCCGAGGGGCATAAAGGGCCAGTGTCCCTTTAAGGATCTGCATCTCCGAGAGCAGAGCCCTGTTTGTGTGACCGAGGAGGAGCTGCTGTGTGTGCGTGTGCGAGTGTGTGCGTGTGTGGCGAAGAGGGAAAGCTGTTGGCACAGGCATTGTTCCCTGACGTCACTCAGCCAGCTCTGCTGCTGCTGCGGCTGCGGCTGCTCTCAAACTTGTCTTTGTTATTCAGAGCTCTCCATCTGACACGGCGGTTGCCTGCAAAACGCGGAGCCCGGGATAGCGCCACAAGCTCCGGATCGGAGCCGTGGCAGGCTGCAGTTAGCATCGGGGAACTTTCCCTTGCTTTAAGGATGGAACAGGGCAAGGGAAAGACACTTATCCTTCCTCGTGGGTGGAAAGGACACTCGCGCACACCCTTAACGCGTTACTAGCGAACGGGGCAAGCCTGTCCACCCCAAACAACCCTCCAGAAGGCGATCCTGTTCATGTTTGCCTGAAAGTTAAGAGCAATGGGGGTTTGCCCTTAAGTAAATTTGTAGGATTGCAGCCCAGCTCCTTACGTGCTTACTTGGAGGCAAGAACCCCTGGCACCATTGGGACTGCCATAGGAGCCAAGTCCTAGGGGCAGAGGCCCCTTCGGCACCCCCAATGAAATCTTTGAGCTCCCCCCTCCCCATTAATGGACATTGCCATCCAAATAGTGTGTGTGCACCTCATCGTATGATTAATTATGCGGGGCAGGACTTCCTTGCCACCCCCCCAGTATTTTATTCAAGATGGCACTCCTGAGTGCACGCAAGTCAATGCCTATTTAGTGATGAGTAAGCCCCACTGAATAGGGACGTGGGTGGAGCTGTGGGTTAAACCACAGAGCCTAGGACGTGCCGATCAGAAGGTCGGTGGTTCGAATCCCCACAACGGGGTGAGCTCCCATCGCTCGGTCCCTGCTCCTGCCAACCTAGCAGTCCGAAAGCACGTCAAAGTGTAAGTAGATAAATAGGTACCACTCTGGCGGGAAGATAAACGGCGTTTCTGTGCGCTGCTCTGGTTCGCCAGAAGCGGCTTAGTCATGCTGGCCACATGACCCGGAAGCTGTACACCGGCTCCCTCGGCCAGTAAAGCGAGATGAGCGCCGCAACCCCAGAGTCGGCCATGACTGGACCTCATGGTCAGGGGTCCCTTTACCTTTTAAGCCCCACTGAGGTCCGCAAAACTTGCTGTGGAGTAAACAGACACAGGATAGGAACCTAGGAATCTGTCTTCCTCCGTGTCAGGCCACTGCTCCATCTAGATTTTTTCCTAGATTTTTTTTCAGTGGGTCTTTAGGGTTTCAGATGGGGTCTCTCCCTGGAGATGCTGAGGACTGAACCTGGGACTGCCTTCTGCATGCATAGCAGATGTTCTTCCACGGAGCCAAGGCCCTCGTGTATCACTGACACATGATGGGAGCTGTTGAATTGCTGGCAGTATTTATTCTTTATTTGTGTAGACCAGAAGACCTGCGTAGTCCTAACTCAGCCACTGGTCCTGCAGGAGCTCACAGCTTAACACACAGAGACACACAGCCCTCTTTTCTGGTGTAGGGCTTTTCAGACACCCCTTCACAAAAGCAAAGGGGAGGCAGAAATACTGGCGTTGGTCTTGGGAATTCGGGATTAGGGTTAATTAGGAATATAGCAATCTGTACCGTAGGGCCGTTGGGGTGAATGAATAGTAGGGAGGCGAAGAGAAAATAAAGAACCACTACCCAGTTTTCCTGAAATGTTGTTATTTAAATTTGTATACCGCCCTTCCTCCATAGATCTCAATATTTGAATTTAAGTAGATTTCTAGCCTGATCATAAGTATTAATCTACTCAATGGGGCTCAACTTCTAGCTAACAATAGTAAGGATCTCGGTGTTACTCAGGACTTAGATTCAAGCCCTTCAGAGCACAATATGCAGCCTGCTGTTTGCCCGGAGGTTCCACCGAGTGACGTGAATTTTACTGCCAAGTAAAGATAACGCTACGCCTTTTCACTTGGAAATCTCTTTTAACTCAGTGGGACCTCCTTCCGAATAAACACCGGATCGGGCTGCACATCAGATTGTTGCGTGGGTAGGTAACTCTTACAAAAATAAAATCAACAGGCGCTCTCCTTCGGTTCGGGTGGCATCCAACTCTTTAAATGGGCATTATTTTGAAGGGGTGCAGAGGACTTAGGTTGGGGGGGGAGGGGGTTGCCAAGGAAGAGGAGTCAGATTGTATCGGTTAAAGGCGTCTTTAATTGAGGGGAAAGGGATGCGGTGTCAGAGAGCACGGGGAAACCCGGCCGTCGGCAACCTGGCGCCCTCCAAATGTTGCGGACGACAACTTCCGTCTGCTACAGCGGGGGGGGGGGGGGCTAGGTTTGCGACGGCAGCTCTAAAGGACCCCCTGCAAAGAGGATTGAAAAGACGCCTCGAGATTTCTTTGATCCATCTGCGGAAATTAAAGCGCAGCGCTGCCAAGATGTACCCTAACTGCAGAAGTCCCGCCGGATCATATAAAGAGCACTATAAAACTCCGCAGCTCTGGGCCTCCTTCCAAGTGTGAACGCTGCGAATCTGAACCTCGGAGTAAGCCCACCCACCGTGAGACCCACGTCTGGGATCCGGACCCCACGTACCCGGGAGTAAGGCCCCTTGCGTTCAATAGGACTTGGCCCTGAGCTCTGTTACTTTCGAGTAAAGGATGCACCGGGCCCCGGGTCTGTTAACCGGGATAGCTGGGTGTATAATTCCACCCCCCCCACTTGCTTCAAAATCAATTCCTCCCTCCTTCCCCCAAGAGAAACGGGGCGGAGCCTGGGCGCTCTTTAAATCGCTTCTCTTCAATTGCATAATCTAACAAGCCCCGTTGGACTCGACGGGCGTGGAATATACATTCGACTTCTTAATAGCTCGTCGTAAAACATTGCTAGGCCTGCAAATATTTTGTCAGGGAGCGAAGGGATGGTAAGGAGGGTCGGGGCTCTTAGAAGACAAGGACGATTTGGCGTGGTCATCTAAATCAATCTATCTATTGGAGACCCGGCTGGAATCCCCCCGTTTGGAGCTCATAACTCCTCGCTTCTTCCGCTGATCCGAATCCGCCAGCTTTTCAGGGCAGCCTGATGGTGGTATTGTGCGCCTAAGCTTGTATGCAAGCCCTGTGTGTGAAACGCGTAGGGGGGGGGCGGAGAGCAAGCCCCACTAAAAAAAAAAAACCCGGCGCTGACTTTCGAGGAAAACGTGCGCTGGGATCGGGCTGCTGCTGCTGCAAAAAAGGGGACTCGCGCCAAAAATACTTTTAAAAATCGGGGGTGGAGGGCGAGAGGAAGAGAAGAGCCGGTGTGCCTGCTCCCCCGCCGCCTAACGGGGCATTGGATCGGGTTGCGAATTTAAAGGCAAGGAGGACGAGGGAGCCCCAGCGAGAGCTCTTGTGTAGTCGGGAGATTTTCACAAAAAAAGGCGCACATCCACAAACCTCTCTTTCAATTAACATCGAGACCCAGCAGCCTCCTCGCTACCGGGGCTCTGCTATTAAAACACACACACGCAGCTCCTCCTCCCGGGATCTGGTTTCCACTCCCCTCTTCTCTCCGCTCCCGGTTCTTGTCAGAGGAAGATCCGGGTGTTGTGCAGATTTAGGGACATCCTCGCCTCCTCCTTCCGCCTCTCTGTGCTGGGCGTCTTGCAAATCCCGCTTAAAGGATCGGACTTTTCCTAAAGAGGAAAAAATACATTTAAAGTCAACGCGTTTCCTGCCATTGGCTACTCCCCCCTTCCGATTTTATTGGCGCTTACTCAGAAGTAAATCACAGCTGGGTTCAAGTGGGTTAAATTCCTGGATAGAAGGGGGGGGACGACGACGGGTTGCTCGTCTTACCTGGGAGGAAGCCCTATTACACCTAAATGAGATTTACCTCCTAGTAAGTAGGTCCAGGCGGCACACACCGTGCGGGGCTCGTGGATTAAGCTGCTGGTTTTCTAGTAATTAAAAAAAAAACACCCACAAAACTCCCTCCTATAATGTATCTATAAAGCACACCCCCCCGCGCGCGCAAGGACTGTGTCAAAATACAAAATGTTTAGAGCTCACTGGTTTCCATTCACACGCAGAGAGTAAAACAATGGTCTTAAATGGCCGTGTAGACTGGGAAACGTTGCCAGTTTAAAAGTGCACTGGATTATGGACGTCTTTCTATTGGGGGGGGTTGGAAATTGCAAAAGGGTGTGTGTGTGTGTGTCCCTCCACACCCCCCTTCATTAATTTTTATAAACAGTCGGGCAATGGTGTGCGCGCCGCGCTCGGTTTCTCTCGACAGGAAGTTCTTCCCTTTGATGAGGGTGGCGGGGAGGGGAGGGGGAAATCTCGAAAGACAATTATTTGCGTTGTTCAACTTGGCTCTTAAAGATTTTAACTTTAGGTGGTCAGAAGGTGCGGTGGGAAGCGGGGTGGCGGGGAGGGGGGAAGAGGAGACAGGCACATGCAGGGAGGAAAAGCTTCCTTCCAGGAGAGACAGCTCCCTTTCAGATAGGAATCTGGGACAGATTTTGCCAACAGCCAGAAGCAGGGCCCTTTGGTAATAAAATAGCCAATGTAATTTGACACTTCAACTTGCTCTGCTCTCTGCTAGTTGATTCACTTATTCTCCCACTAACACTGAGCTCCTTTTCACTGTCTGTGAGAGGTTTTTTTTTAATTTAGATTATATATATATATACATATATTAAAGGCAAGAAATAAGAGATTTTTTTAAAAGTAAAATTTAAAAAGCCACCTGAACCAGACCTGCAGCAGATCCACTGGAAAGAGGGAATATTTTGCTTTGCCTGCTTTCTTCCGTATGATTTTTTTCTCCTTCTTGCAAGCCTTGCTCATTCCCCCCAGCCTGTAGGTAAGTTTCGTCTCTCAGTTCATTTACATCTCCTTGTGCTTTTTTTGGAGGGGAGTGGGGGTTACTCCGGCCAAGGTTTGTAGAAACAATGGAAGTAAATACGAGATAAGGAAATACACCGAGATCCATAGATATGTTTTATGTTTGGTGTGAAGATTGGAAGCGGCGGCGGCGCGGGTGCGGGGGGGGGGCAGAGAAGAAGAAATCCAGGAAAACAGTGTGAAGACTTCTTAAAGGGGCAGCTTGTGTTTCTACGTTTGGCAATGTGGGGGGTTCGCGAGACAGAGGCAAAACCCGGGAGATCCTGGGAGAAAGGCGGATGGACTTGAATCTTAGTTTGCTGTATTAATATATTGCTTTATCTTACGATCGTGAGGGGGGGGGGGAGGCGTGAAGAAGCCAGACGTTTACCGGGGGTCGCTTTTATTAAAAAAAAGAACCGAAAAGCGGTGCGCACGTTAGAGCGTGGGTGGGTCGGAACGAGTGCAAAAGATAGGAGACCTATGCAATTATATACATCTAGATCGGCAAAAGGTGTTTTTTATGTGCGCGCGTCTCAAGTTTGAAGAGCCCAAACCACGTTCCTAATTTCGGCCCCCTTGACTGGCAGGGGTTGGAGCCGCGATCTTGCGCCCTAAAAACAAAGGAAGGTTTCAAATAATCCGGAGAGCTTCTGGTTCGGGGTTTTGTTTTGTTGTCCTTTCTCCCTGCCCTCCCTCCTTGCCTCCCTCCTCCCCTCCTGGCCGGCTTTTTATTTTATTTTTTTACTTTTGCTAACTGGTTTTGAGAAAAGGCGATTCCTTTAAGATCCTCCCCGGCGAGAGCCTAATCGATCGATCCGGAGGAGGGTTTGCAGGGGAAGATGTAAGAAAGGTGGGTGGGAGGGGGAGGAGGGGGCGCCGAGCTTCTTTTCCGGGCGGTGGGAAGCCGGAGCGAGTGCAAATTCCTTGTGTCTGGATTCTGAAAGCCAGTTGGGACTTGGGGCCTCTCTCGCCGGGCAGGAGGGGCGCGCGGGGAGGGTCTCCCCCCACCTCTCCCTCTCTCTGCCTCCCCCGTCTCTCCCTCCCTCTCGCGTTCATCTGTCCAGGAAGCCAGTGGAGGAAGGTGGCGGGCGCGGGGGGGGGGAAGCGTCTAGCCCCTGCTTTCTTGGTACTGTGAATCGAGGGTGGGCGCGCGGAGAGGGAACGAGGGGATCGTTTTCAGGGGAGAGCAGTTTGGGCTATAGCTGGCTGCAAGGAAGAAAAAAAAAAAGAAAACCCGAAAATCAACATGGCAGTTAAAAGGCACTTGAGGAATGTAAACATTAAAAATAGGAGCCATCTGAGTTGAGCCTTGGATTCCTGGCCACGAACTTTTTGGGCAGGTCTCCTAGGCCGACTTCCAAAGGAAGATAATGGGAGGGGACCTAAAAGTTCCTTGGTCGGGTTTCTTCGCCTGCCCTGAAAACTTTTTTGGATATAGGTGTGTGTTGGGCGCACGTGTGAAGGTTCTAATCTGGTTGCTAACTTTGGTTGTAGGAGGGAGACCTTCTGAGATGCCTGTTGCCTTCTTCTGTCTTAATAATTATGAGCATCATTAAATAACTGAGGAATGAGGAGGAGGAGGAGGAGGAAGAGAACAACCGCACACAATATTTTCTTTTCTTTGCCTGATTGTGGTTCTACAGCCTGTGCAGCTGGGAAATGTGTAAGCCTGCAGTCACAGAGGGAACTGAGACGGTAGCCAGCTTTTAAAGTCTCAGCCCCCTGTCATCACCACAGTCTGCTTTTCTGCACTGTATATACATGTTGGTCTTTAGTTACTGATCTGAAAGGGCTTAATGATTCTCCAGGGCCAAAGTAATAGTGTGTATCTGTGCATTGACTTCAACAGGCCTAAGAGACACTGGGTGTTCTGACTGCTCCCCCCACCCAGACTGACATGAGAGTGGAGGATTTAACTTGGCAGCTTGAACAAATGCCCTCTCAAAGGTTTCCAGGAGACAGTAAGAGAGCAGGAATAGGAGTAGAGGGGTGGGGGAAGAGATGAATGCCTGGGTATAGTCTTGGGGTGCTACCTAGCTGTGCTTTCTTTCAAATATGAAATGGCTATTTAGGCACCGTGAATACAAGTGTGTGCCTCAGTGAGGCAATGGGCTTATCAAATTTGAAAGGGCAAAAAGCCTGTTCAAAGCTCTGGCGCCCCAAGTTCTAGATAAGTGGGGCTTCCAGCTGCCAGTTTTTTCTTTTAAGCATGTTTAGCAACTCATAGCTCGCCTTTAAACTGCAATATGGGACTTGGCCTTTGGAATTGGAAAGGTTAATGATGGAGTCACCTCCACCAAGTTGTAATGATTACTTTTTAGATATTTGGGGGCGGGGGGGGTAGTTTACAAGGGAGGATTATTGGGATAATGGAAGCCCAGCCTGGTGCTAGCCTTAAAAGGGCTAGAGTTGGACCAAGGTTCAAGTGGAAGCTCAGCCGTGGACTTGCTGGATTAGGTTGCTGTCTCTTGGCTTCTGCTGCTTTCTCCTCAAAGCGTTACCTTTTCTCAAAGAGTACTTGTGAGGATGTATATCATAAAAAGAAATGTGGCCTGCCTTGGGAATAAAGCAACAAACAAACCATCAACAATGAGGACTAGCGGCTTGACGTATGGGTGGTTTAAGTTATATTACTTCCCCAGTTAGTGTACCCAGGCTTGTAAATAGCCACTTGCCTAAATGCCTCTGGTGAGTAAGAAATGCCTCCAAGCGATCAGACAGGGAAGCTTTTTAAAGATTGGCTCTCATTCTTCTTTGGCCACAAACGTCTAAGGCAGGAATGTTTTTAGACAGGCTGGTAACTTCAGTGAATGTTTGCAAGGCTGCTGTGAAGTATTTGTTACTGCATCTTTAAAAAATTTAAAGTTCTACAGGAGAAACTTCTTATTTATATTATTAAAAAAATGTGGCTGTGACCATCCAGGAAAGTTTTGAGAAAGATCTCCTCCTCGCTCCTTTCCTTTTAAGCTATAAGTGATTGACACAGGTCTGTGTGTTTGGCTTATAAAGAAAAATGTAGACCTATTTGCAAATCTGCTGTAGATGTTTTCCCCCCTCCCCCAAATCTACATATGCACATATCACTGAGGGAAAGGTTTTGTTGAAGGGTCTAGCTAAACCACATGCTTCTAAGCATTATTGTCTCTCCCTTTAGGAGAGAATTGAGATTCATCTTGCAAAGTTGGTTTCTGCCTCCAACTGTCCCTGCTTTTGATCAAGGCAAATTTACTACAACATCAATCTTCCTTTGGCAGGGCCTGATTCAGGTTTATGAATGCCAGAAGACTAGGGCTGACCTTTTTCTGTTCAGATTGAGGATGTTGAAACACCAGCCATCAAACAAAAGACACATTGAAAGCAAGGTCTTGCAATGGAGCACGTGTGACTTTCAGACTGGTTGCAAGCTTTTGGTTGATCGTTTTCAGAGTATGGAGGCTATTGGGGGAGGGGGTGCGGGACACTTTTGAAAAAGCTGTGTAAGGTTTGAGTCTTCTTGAGGGGAGGGATCTTAAACAAGAATGGGCTTTCATGAGTGCAATAATTACTACATTTAGAGATTGGGCCCAAAACTTTTAAAAACAATTTCCAGCCACCACAAGTTACTAAGAACTGTTTTCATTTGCTTAACTGGCAAATTTGGTGATTTCAAACCTAGAAATTAGCTTGGGTTCTTTCAAGTCTTCTTTGTTCAGGTTTTCTTCCCTGTTCCCCCCCACTAGCAAAAAAAAAATAAAAATAAAAATAAAAAAAGGCAGAAAGCAACACCAGAAACACCAAAATTCTGTGGAAAACAGGGTTTAGTTGCCAGATCTGGATATCTGTCATAAACAAAGACAGTCTTTTAAATGATTTCAACTTGAAGGGAAGATTTTGCTTTCGTTGTAAAAGGGCAATTGACTTTAATGTCTTACTTGATGAGGAAACTTAGGAGAGAATCCCATTGATTTGCAGTGCTTGTGGTCCCTAACACTTGACATTTGTAAAAAAGCAAAAAAAAACTTTAATAATATTACTGAGCTTGGTATTAACTGAGTATTGCTTAGTGTGTCCAATATGCATCTGTGAAAGAATTTTTTCTCCAAAAGGAGTTTGTTGCTGCATAAGCAACAAAAGTGTGTTGAGTTTGTTGCTGTGCGAGATTTAAGCCTGTGCACACTTCTAAGATCACGCTGGGGAAGCCAAAATGAATAATGCTGTGTATCTTGCTGAAAGGCAAGACACAAGTGTCTTCTGTGGATCATCCCCCCCCCCCCTCCAAAGAGGGGTTACTATGGAATTCTAAGTAGTAAAATTCTGCTACATATGTTTCTACTCAGAATTTTTTTCCGGTGTGTTACATTTGCTCTTGATGTAATGCTTCTTTCACTGCCAGAGTTCTCAAAGATTTTTGTGATACTACTTGCACCTCCCCTTCTCCAAGTGTTTGAGAGGGGAGGAGGGGGATTTTATCAGTGGAAGCCCTGTGGAGCGAGACCGTAAGGTTTTGTGCAGTTTTAGTATGTGTTTCAAATAATAGGATAGCTACATTGATGCAAACCCGGGACCATATATACTTTTCACTCTCTCAGTACAATAATGGGATGAGGCACTACTGGTCTTACCACACCTGCTTTATTTGTACTGAATGATTCTCCACTGTCAAATTTTATAATCCTGTGGGGTTTGGAGCTCTGATATTTGATGACCAGAAAGATGGAGGTATCATAGGTCTCAAAAATGAGTTCTTTGGATTTTATTATTCCTAAACTTGGGTCTTTGTTGTCAGGAGGCTTTGAAAAGTCTCTTTAGATGTAGTGGTAGCTGCTACACTCAAGCTGCTTTTCCATGGACCCGCCACCCCACATACATTTTTGGCATCTTAAATGGTTCATTAAGATAAATAAGTTTGGAACAGTTTAGTTAATTAGAATTTGCAAGCAGAGGCAGAACAACCACCATTATAAAACATGTTGCCAACTCTGTTAAAGGCCCACCAGTGGAAGATTGCATTGCATTTGTTTTGAGTGGCACCCTAGGAACTCTTCGGAGTTGGAGGAGCAAGACATAACTTTACCACATGAAGAAATGTATGTACTTTGATGTACATATACAGTTTATGAATTGAGTGAGTGCAATGACTAAAAAAGTACTTGAGCTAATTTGATTGGCTTTGTTTTCAGTTTAGGTGAAAATATATGGGTCAGAGGACAGCAGAAAATGACTTTTCGGTATTAATGTATTGACCAAGTGAGTGTGCTTATATATTCTGCACTCTGTGAATATGAATCTATGGTTTCCCTGGGACTGTCAAAGATAATTTCATTGGGGAAAATCTGTAGAGGTGAGTTTTGCTTTAGATTATTAAAATGGGATTTGGTCACAGCTCTGGCTGAGAAGGGAGGGAAATGCCCTGTCACCCCCCCTCCCCATATTGGGTGATCAGATGCAAAGGACAGTGGGGCTATTGTCCCTTTTAAGAGTTATGTCACACCTTACATTTAAAACATTATTATACCACTTTTAACTTTCATGGAGAATCCTAGGAACTGTAGTTTGTTAAGGGTGCTGGGAACTGTAGCTTTGTGAGGGTAGCACCCTAAACAAGCTACAGTGCCCAGGATTCTCTATGACTGCTAAGAGTGGTATAACAGTGCTTTAAATGTATGGTGTGGATGTGACTTTAGTGTCAGCCCAAGGAGACCTGGGCTCAGATTCCTTTCTCAGCCATGCACCTCACCTTGAGCCAGTTGCTATTGCTCAGCTTGACATACGTTGCAGGATCATTTGTGGGTCACATCATATATGCTGCCAGGAGCATGGAGAAATAGTAGATGAAAAAGAAGTTGGGGTGGGAAGGTGTGCCTTGTAATACCCAGGTGTGGGCAGAGAGATGCACCTGATTAAATGCTCTTCTACTTAGTTGTTAATGGTACAGAAGCGCTCGTCTCCTTTGCATCTAGTCACATCTGTGGTGTTGTTTGTTGTTTAGTTGTTTAGTTGTGTCCGACTCTTTGTGACCCCATGGACCAGAGCACGCCAGGCACTCATGTCTTCCACTGCCTCCCCACAGCTTGGTCAAACTCATGTTAGTAGCTTCGAGAACACTGTCCAACCATCTTGTCCTCTGTCGTCCCCTTCTCCCTGTGCCCTCCATCTTTCCCAACATAAGGGTCTTTTCCAGGGAGTCTTCTCTTCTCATGAGGTGGCCAAAGTATTGGAGCCTCAGCTTCAGGATCTGTCCTTCCAGTGAGCGCTCAGGGCTGATTTCCTTCAGAATGGATAGGTTTGATCTTCTTGCAGTCCATGGGACTCTCAAGAGTCTCCTCCAGCACCATGTATAGTGGGACAAAAATGCAGACAGCACTGGTTATCCAAAGCTTGTTGGGGTTTGGGATTTCATGTTCTTAACAACTGCATGGTGTTCACATGATGGGTTCATCCTCTGGCAGCAACCATTTCCCGTCTACTCACACTGACTTCCAGTGGCATCAGCTTGTGGTGAGGCAATTGTGTGCACACAACCATCATTGAATACAGCCTGGGTCAGCTTTTTGGCATGGCATTGTGAACCTACAGCTAGACTTCCAGTGACATGCCAAAAAAGGGAAATCAAGCCATGGCTGTTCTTGTATGTGAAAGGGCATGGCGTTGGGACTGACATGGCTAGAAGTTAGCATGAGCATCCTACAGCTTCCTTTAGCTGTTTTAGTTACATGAAGGGGTCCTCAGGTGAGTGGCCAAGAATGCAGAGAGAAATCTTTGAAGTTTGCTGCAGTACTATACTCCTTTGAATGAGAGAGTTCCTTCTGTTTGGGTTTCAGGAAGCTCACCAGACCACTGTTCAGTCTGCAGATTTGTTTACTACTGTCATCAAGTGAAGGAGAAAAAAGCAGTGGGGGAAATGGTTTCAGAACAGAGTTAGGTTGTATGGTAAAAATGCTTCCTAACTGTGAATACAACTGTAGGCAACGCTTTCCGCAAGGAACACTGGTTATAGGAGGGGTGGATTCTGAAATTTGGTCTCATACTCCCCCCCCCCAAAAAAAAACCCCCAACAAGCAAATAAGTGTTTTATAGCACAGAAGAAATAAAACATGTGTCCAAGTAATTGCAAGAGCAGTACGGAACACTAATCAGCTCTTAATTTTCTCACAATCCTTTTTTTTTTACATGTGCCTTCTTAAGAGGGTATGCAGATTAAACCAATAACTGGCTAAACATGAAGATGAATATAAAATCAACAAATACAGGTGCCCAAATAGCAACAACATAGCCTAATAAAAGCATTCATGAACTAAAGATCTAAGTGAACAAAAATATTTTCCCAAGCTGCCTAAAACTCTACAGTGAGTGAAAGCCTGGTGGGTTTCCCTGGGGAGGAAATTCCACAGCTGCAGTGCCACTACTAGAATGATCCTGCTCCAAACAGCAGAATTTGTCCTTTTCTCAACAGGAGAAATTCCGGTGCACAGCCTCTTCTGATGTTCCTAAACTCTAGGACAGGGATAGCCACTGTGGTATCTTCCAGATGTCTAGAGCTGCATCTCCCATCATCCTTCGGCTGATGGGAATTGCTTTCCAGCACCAGGAGGGCATCTTATTGGCTACCTTGTGCAAGAATTATAGGTGTAGAATGTCTTCTCTGTGAAGGTGCTGGCATGCGTCTTGACTCTCATGGTTAATATACAGACAATTCTCCCTGCATTTGTCCACTTTATCAACTTTGTCCCCCACCAAGATTGCTCTGTTTACTGCAGAAGGGGGAATCAAACATACTGTGTAGGAACCGATATGTCAGTTTTCTTTCCAAGTACAATGTTCGGCAGGAAATGTCCTCCCCCCCCCCCACTATTCCTTAACAATAACTGATAAACTTGCCTTCCTAATATTGATGCTGTTGAATCTGTTCAAACAAGCAGCAGTGAATTCAGAGCCTGTGAGATTTGGAGGTGTTGTGCCCTAAGCTCTTCTCTCCGCCTTCCCAAAAAGTAGAACAGAAGCTTCCATTGCTGATTTGTGGGAAACCACAATTTGCCAAGAAAGCAGAAACCCAAAGCATGTTTTGATGCTGTTTTTGCTCAAATCATAGTTAGTCAGGTTTAGGCAAAATGGGAAACTATGGTTTGCCACAACCCAGCACCAGAAGTTGCTAATCTTTTCTCCTTGCATTCAAGCCTGAGCTTGTGTTTGTGATCGGAAGTGGATGGTTTGCCATATTGTGAACTGCCCTGAGACCTGCGGATATAGGGAAGTATACAAATTAAATCAATAATAATAATAATTCTACATGAATGAGGTCCACATAGAATCACAGAATTGTAAGGGATCTCAAGGGTCATCTAGTTCAACGCCCTGCAGCACAGCAATCTCAACACGGGGTCCCCCATCCAATTTGAACCATATGTGCTGTTGGTTTTGTTGCTGCACCACTAGGAAGGCTTGGTCCATTTGAAAACGTGCTGTATATCTGCCTTGGTTTGCAGTTCGTAAAATGGGAATAACCTAAATTTGCATAGATATTGTAGGAATATGCAAATTCAAGATTGGAGGTCATGCCTGCACATCTTGTGTCCCACTAAGCTGCATGCTTCCCCGCAGAACACCTTAATGAATCTTATTTTGCTATTTCATAGAACTGGGTGGGTGACTGGGGGTAGGTTTTCATGAACAGGCCAAGCAAGACTATGGTGTGTAGTTGTGCTGACAATGGCCTTGCTCCGTTACACAAGCAGCAGAATGCAGGGTAGGACAGACTATGCCACTTTAGAATGGAAGTGGATGCCGTAAATGAAATAATAATTGCAATGTTGCTATTCAATACTCCAGTATCTTCTTCCAAGGAGGAAACTAGCGCAGCAGACACACACACACACACACGAACAATAGAGAGTTCTCACTTTCTTTCTCCATGGTTTCCTTGAAGAGAATCAGCAAGAGACCTCAGGAGCTGTAATCCATGGACACAGTGCTGGCCTGCTTGGGCTTTTTTTTTGTAGTAAGA